AAATAGTGGCAAGGAATTGAGAAAGTGCAGCACATATCTTTTTTCAGTGAAGACCTTGTACTTTCGTCTTCGTTCCAGGCACACTCATTTGGAGCTAAGAGCCAAGCTCAAGAAGTTTACACATCTTGTGTAAACTACATCTAAAATCTGAGCCTTCAGCTCAGTGGTGCTTGTGCTAACCCAATTCAGCACACAATCAACTGTAAAGTATTGTCGAATTTTACCATACCTTACAAGAACTGCATCCAACTATGAATATAAAGAACTATTTTGTAGGGGAATAATCACGATAAGAACAAAAATAGCCTTTAGGCAGGTATTATCTCTTGTTATGGTTTCCATAGTTTACATTAACTGTATCTATACAAACGTAGCATGCTTTTTCTTTTAGAATTAAAGACACAGCAATGACAGAATTATTGGTTGATTACTGAAAGAGGTGCAAACAAAGCCTGCTAATGCCTTTGTTCTGTTCAGTCGTTTAGTCGTGTCCGACTCTTCGTGACCCCATGGACCAGAGAACGCCAGGCCCTCCTATCTTCCACCGCCTCCCGGAGTTGTGTCAAATTCATGTTGGTTGCTTCGATGACACTGTCCAACCATCTCATCCTCAGTCGTCCCCTTCTCCTCTTGCCTTCACACTTTCCCAACATCAGGGTCTTTTCCAGGGAGTCCTCTCTTCTCATGAGATGGCCAAAGTACTGGAGCCTCAGCTTCAGGATCTCTCCTTCCAATGAGCACTCGGGGTTGATTTCCTTTAGAATTGATAGGTTTGTTCTCTTTGCAGTCCAGGGAACTCTCAAGAGTCTCCTCCAGCACCACAATTCAAAGGCATCAATTCTTCGGCGGTCAGCTTTCTTTATGGTCCAGCTCTCACTTCCATACAACACTACAGGAAAAACCATAGCTTTGACTATTCGGATTTTTGTTGGCAAGGTGATGTCTCTGCTTTTTAAGATGCTGTCAAGGTTTGTCATTGCTTTCCTCCCAAGAAGCAGGTAGACCGTTTTTTGCACTTTCCTCTTTCACTCTCATTACAAGGTTCTTTAATTCCTCCTCACTTTCTGCCATCAGAGTGGTGTCATCTGCATATCGGAGGTTGGTGATCTTTCTTCCTGCAATCTTAATTCCAGCTTGGGATTCCTTCAGTCCAGCCTTCCGCATGATGTATTCTGCATATAAGTTAAATAAGCAGGGTGACAATATACAGCCTTGTTGTACTCCTTTCCCAATTTTGAACCACTCAGTTGTTCCATGACCAGTTCTAACTGTTGCTTCCTGTCCCACATATAGGTTTCTCAGGAGATGGATAAGGTGGTCAGGGACGCCCATTTCTTTTAGGACTTGCCATAGTTTGCTGTGGTCCACACAGTCAAAGGCTTTTGCATAGTCAATGAAGCAGAAGTAGATGTTTTTCTGGAACTCTCTGGCTTTCTCCATAATCCAGCGCATGTTGGCAATTTGGTCTCGAGTTCCTCTGCCCCTTCGGAATCCCGCTTGTACTTCTGGGAGTTCTCGGTCCACATACTGCTGAAGCCTACCTTGTATGATTTTGAGCATAACCTTGCTGGCGTGTGAGATGAGTGCAATTGTCCGGTAGTTGGAGCATTCTTTGGCACTGCCCTTCTTTGGTATTGGGATGTAGACTGATCTTTTCCAGTCCTCTGGCCACTGTTGAGTTTTCCAAACTTGTTGGCATATTGAATGTAGCACCTTAACAGCATCATCCTTTAAGATTTTAAATAGTTCAACTGGAATGCCATCACCTCCACTGGCCTTGTTGTTAGCCAGGCTTTCTAAGGCCCACTTGACCTCACTCTCCAGGATGTCTGGCTCTAGGTCAGCAACTATATTGTCTGGGTTGTCCGGGATATCCAAAACTTTCTGATATAATTCCTCTGTGTATTCTTGCCACCTCTTCTTGATGTCTTCTGCTTCTGTGAGGTCCCTTCCATTTTTGTCTTTTATCATGTCCATCTTTGCACAAAATTTTCCTCTAATATCTCCAATTTTCCTGAACAGATCTCTGGTTTTTCCTTTTCTGTTATTTTCCTCTATTTCTTTGCATTGTTCATTTAAGAAGGCCCTCTTGTCTCTCCTTGCTATTCTTTGGAAGTCTGCATTCAATTTTCTGTAACTTTCCCTATCTCCCCTGCATTTTGTTTCCCTTCTCTTTTCTGCTATTTGTAAGGCCTCGTTGGACAGCCACTTTGCTTTCTTGCATTTCCTTTTCTTTGGGATGGTTTTTGTTGCTGCCTCCTGTACAATGTTACGAGCCTCTATCCAAAGTTCTTCAGGCTAATGCCTTTAATCCTCAGAAATCCATGCAATAAAGCAGCAGTCATAGTAATGTCATAGCAATATCATGCACCCCCAAAACATAACTATGAGAAGGAGGGAAAGATGCACGAGCCCCCCCCATGGAACAGTGCATCGTGACCTCCTTTGACCCACGTCAGCCCCTTGGTATGCCCTAGCATCTTCTGTGGCCTCACATGGAGCCACTATGCCAGGAGAAGGGGCCAGCTGGGTTGGTACCATTGGACCGGTGGTCTGCCACACCCTCAACAGCAGAGGACCTCAGTAAGCCCAAGACCCAACTTCTCAGATTACTTCCTGGAGATGAATAGCAGCACAGTATTTATTGAATATGCATGTATATATGTATTTATAAGGGGGCAGCACCCAAACCGTGCTGCTCGGATCCATGCAATTCGAGGGAGAAGTGGATCACTCAACATCCCCTCTCTCATAGGTTAATGAAAAAAACTTATGTGATTTTTTTATTCTTGCAAGTGAGATGCAAGGTGTAGTTATGTCCTCCTTGCCCTTCATATATCACAGCAATCTTCTCCATTTTGCGCGCATACCCCTTGTGCAAATTTCCTAATATAGATCATACAGAAGCCACATCAACAGAGCAATCAGGGCAAACACAATACTGTGATGGTTGCTGCTGTTTTAAAAATGAGCTAGAAAAGAATTTGATAAAACAGTCTTCAAAAAAAAAGATTACTTTAATACAACAAAAACCTTCACTGAAAACAGTGCTTTCAGGCCTTTTTTCAATGCATGCAGAAATTAGCATGAGATTCTGAAGCAATTTTCACTTGCTATAGTATAACTCAAACTGAGACAGCTCCTGTTAAGTAGAAAATACACTGTGACATTACCACAAGAATAAAGAGTTATTTCTCACAATTGAGAAGACAATTTCTATAGATTCTGCTAAATGTTATTCTGCTATATGTTAGTGGAGGTCACTACCTACTACATGCATTACCTTGAAGTTAGGATAAGAAGTCATCATCTGAACTGCTAAATGTATTCAATAGCTGTATACGCCAGTTCAAGATTACATTACAGTTTACAGTACTTAATAATTAATAACACTTCATTATCACTCTTAAAAAACCAAGTGATTTTATTTCCCATTCTGAGTTTATTACAGTGGACCCTCTACTTAAGGAATTAATCCGTATTGGAATGGTGGCTGCAAGTCGAAAAGTCTGTAAGTTCAATTTCCATTGACCTACAATGCACTGAAAACCGATTAATCCCATAACCAGTGGTTTTTATTCTATTGTTATTCCATTTTGGATTTTTTCTGGTTTGTAAGTCGATTCTCTGGCTGCAAGTCGAATCTAAATTTTGCAGCCAGAGAAGTCTGTAAGTCGAGCCGTCTGTAAGTCGAGCCGTCTGTAAGTCGAGGGTCCACTGTAGAGTGTATCAAATACACTGTGCTTTGTTTCACTTGAAGGAGCACAGATTCTTGGGACCAGAGACTTTGAGGGGAAAATTGGAAGCAAAAATAAAATGTATTGTTGTGAAATTACGACAGATTTCCCCATACAATCCACACAATATTTGAAAAAAGGCCCTTCTTGTAGTCACAGGCTATAAGGGACAAATTAGAAAGAAAAAAAAATGTATTGTGAACAAAACAATAGCAAAAAGAATAACAAAACGGAGAACTGAGGTAATTCTCTTGCTCAGTCTCTCTCACATTAAGTCTTACAGTGAGTGTGCCCACTCTGGTAGATAAAATAGAATGAAGAGAAAACAGCATGGCACATGTACAGGAGTGAGGCTATTTTAATGGTTCCTGATGCACAAAGGTAAGAGAAAACCCATTAGATTTTAATTTACTAAATCCATATCAGTCTAAGTAGGAGAATGGCGGACAACTGACAGACATTTCATTTGTTTCCTGCCCTAGAGAACCCCTTGTACAGATCTGTATTATTTGCTTCAGTCCTATATTCCAAGAGAGAAAGGGAAAAGCCTTCTCAGTCAACATTTTCTCAGATGGATTTTGCAGAAGTAGCTGTAACCGTTAGTACTCAGCACTCAATAAAAGCCAAAAATGCTTTTTCACCTTCATTTTTCAAGGAATGTCAAAATCCAACATTTTAATGAAAGCATACTAAAATAAGGAAAGAGAATAAATAAGGGAGGGAGAGAAAGGGAGGATATAAAGCTGCTTCCACATTACGCTACTTTAGAAGAGGCATCAGTTCTTCCACTCAAAGCTATGAGCAGAATCAAAAAGGTGGTTCCACAATGAACATTGTGATTTATCTCCATTAATGCCCAGCAGTACTTACTCATATAGCGAAAAAGACACAGTAGAAAGGAAAGCAGCAGATGAAGGAATATTTTTGAGGGGGAGGGAGAGGTATAAATGTTTCTCCCACCATTCCCCATATTTCTGTTGGAAAAATGCAATTTTGCATGTGTCTCCTTTAACACTGGATGTCTGTGGGAAGGATGTTCTGTATCTGCTACTAAACAGAGAAGGATTTTCCACCCACCCTCATGCTTTGGAGTCCTTGAGACCACCCATTCTTTTCTGTTGCTTCCTTTGTTAGCCACCTTTCTTCCATAAAGCAAAAACTGTTTGATACACAATTTTGTTTGACAATAAGGGTCACAGTATTTCTCTACATGTTGGCAACAATCCTGCAGATGTCAATGAATAATTAACACGAAACTCTTACCGTGATGACAGCAAATATTCACCAAGGATCCAATTCCTTGCTTCCGTGGGAAATTAATCATTTGTTTGTCAACGTGTTTGACCTCATTCTGTGGTTTTCGATTTTTCAATTAATGCCGGATGTACTGAAAGAATGTAGAATAAATAGTCAGCAAAAAGGTAGCATGCCTCAAAGCAGTCACACTTGCTTGCTTCTTTTCAGAAAAAAACTATTTCCCCCCTAAATATTGAAGAAACTGGGCATTTCCCTCTGAAAAATAAGAAAACTTTTGATTCCGGAGAATCATACGATACTACTTTCTTAAATTCCCTTTGATAAGAGGCAGTTGTGCATAACATGAAGGACTGGGTTCTGAATCTTCTTTCTTATTTAAAGAGGCAAGGCAAATCTGCTAAAATTTGCAGTATGGAAAACAGATAGAACAAGTGGGACTTTTCTAGAAGCCTTGTGCATTTCCCCTAATGAGGCTCAAAAACATACTTGATAAAGTTTGCTTAAACAATTTGCACATTTTGCTAGTTCTGGAACTGCTCTTCACCTTGGCTCAAAATCTTGGCAATGAATTTCCAGCAACCATCCCACATGTTCCAGCCAGCCTTGGAGCACTCTCAGAGCCTCCCTGCCTGGCCTCCCAAACAACATTCTGCTGTGCCTAGCAACCAACAGTGGTACAACCATGAGTAAGAGCCCACAGGGAGGAGTTTCCCCATCTCCTCCTTCTCCTTCACTTCACATGCCAGCATGGCTCTATGAAAAACTTTGGGACAACATAGATGTAAACAATGGTTCTCACCAACAACTGCCAGGTAAGAGAGTAAAGGGTGCACTTATGTTTCACGGTGTGGATAGTCAGGATTCACAAAGTCTTGGGGGACAGAAGGGAGCTTGATTTTCGGCCTCTTAGCTGGCTGGAGTCCTACCCTTTTGTAGTCATTCCAGCTTTTCCGGGTGGTGGAAGAACTGAGATAGTTTTCAACTTAAGCTGGAAAGTTTGCCAAACTTTCACACAGCATGTGTACCCGTTTTTTTAACATTTTGAAAGGTGTTAATTAGAAAAAGGCCTGCCTGCCTATCTGAAATGGGGAAGAGTATGCTGATACAGAAAACACATCTCAGAAAAGCTTGGATTAGCAATATAAGTGAATTATACAAATAATGCACATTTAGCCAAATATGGATGGTTTCATTTATATTATATAATTTTTTTCTATAGATTTTATTATCCTGATCAATATACTGTGCTTCTGCTGGTTACGGTGAGAGTAAAGGAATCCACAAGGCACTTAAAGATGCTGGTGTGTCACCAGTTTGTGTTACCAGTGCAACTATTGTTACTCTATTGGTACGGCCAATTATCAGGAACTACTGTATTCTGATATCCTAGCAGTCATGCAGCCCACACCCCTAACATTACCCTTTCAGGAAGGGAAATCCATGTAAAAACAGTCTAGCGTTACGTTGTCATTACACTAGAGGGGCATGGCTTGCCATTTAAAGGTTATTTCAGCCCTTGCAAGTGCACTCCACTGAAGTCTAGGGGAGGATAAAAAGATAAGACATTTGGCAGCTGTTCAGCCATATGGTGCCCAGTCCATATTTGCATCCAAATAAGCCAAAAAAACAAAAACATTTGCAGACCCATAAGGGGTGGGGGTGGGTGGGAGAGAGAGCATATGCCTATTATGAGCCAACTTGATTCTTCTTCCATTATGAAAATGTGACTGTGTTCTCATAACATGACAAGGAGATACAGTGGAATGAAATTACAGCACAAACCACAATGCATTTGCATGTATTTGTTAGCTGTGATCTACTGTTCTCAATAGTTTTAGCTGGAGTAAAATGCATCTTGACTGCCATATGCACTGAAATTGTTTGGAAAACCATGAATATCAGGGACACATGGCAAATATTTTAAAAAAGATGCTGAGTCAAAGCAGAAACCACGCAGAAAAGAACATTTCTGCATATCCCTAACAACTCTGAAACTTTAACTATTTCTCTCTCTCTCTCTCTCTCTCTCTCTCTCTCTGTGTGTGTGTGTGGGGGGTGAGTCCACACCCAAAACAGAGCTGTGGGCAGTGTTATCTGAGGTGATAATCCTGCGCCATATTTGGTGGATTGTGGCACCGAAAGAGATGGCAAAGAAACCCCTCCCCTTCCTCTATTTTCATCTACTCTAGCATTATAATTTAAAAATATATTATCCTATTAAAAAAATATTTTCCTAGCACTATGCTAGATTAAAGAGATAAATTTGTGATATTATATAGAGTGCATTTTCCTCCTTTTTTCTTTGACACAGGATGGAAGTGCAGGAGCCATAGCCAACTCTACACCCACCCACGCCCACACGCCCACAACCCTGGGGTGCTGTCTGGAGGATATACTGCATACTCTAACATCCTAACATTATTCTTAGATTGTAGTACTATCTATTTTTGAGGACTTATTTATCAGTTGTGAATATGCACTCCACCATTTATCCAATTATTTCATATCACTAGGCTGTTTACAGGAAATTCATTACATAGTTGATGCACAAGAGCTCAGTGAGTTAGATCTCTAGCTGCAGAGCCAAAGGTTGGGCGTTCCATTCCCACCACTGTGCCTCCTGTGAATACAGCTAGCTTTTGCAGCCTTGGGCAAGCTGCACAGTCCCAGAGCATCCCCAGAAGAAGGGCATGGGAAACCACTTCTGAGTAGTCTCTACTTAGAAAACCCTGGAAGGGTTCACCATATATTGGAATCAACTTGATGGGCACATAATTATTATTGTATTTTAATTTATACCAACTAGCTCTAAGTCAGTGTTGTTCTTGCATTTAAAATGTGTTTTAGTCGTGCACTAAATATTCTTAGTCGGGTGATGCTGGAATGAAATGCATTTCTAGCTAGTGTGGTTGCTGATAAATTAGAATGGTCTAATCTACTCTTCTTACAAATGCAACAGGCAGAGGGAGGCCTGGACGTTAGATTGGCCACATGAGACAATTAAGTGGTGAAGCTTCTGTGAGTTCTTCAACCTCTAATCCTACAGGTTGCTCTGTCAGTTTAGGCCATGTTGGTGATGAATACCAAATGTCCATCATCCTTCATTTGATGGGGGGTGGCACAGCTGTCTGGCATATATTACTAAAACCTAGGTGGGGAACCTGGGGAAGGGGGATAGATTTATTTCAGCTTTGTCCACGCGGTTATTCAGTGAAGCACAAACAGGTCTCCATGGTCAAGTGAGGCCAGTCAACATGATCTAGAGGAATTCTGTCTCCCTCTTCAGAAAATCATTTTATAGAGACTCAGGGTCTCAACATCTGTACTTGGGTGTCTGTTTTGGTCACAGGTTGGGGGAGTCTGTTGGAACATGAACCACACAACCTAATATCGGGGAATCTCAGTATCTTTCCTAAAGGTGCTTCATGGGGCTATTTCCAAATTTCATAGCTGCCATGTCAAACACGGAATTGTATGCTACTGGCACAACACGTAAGATAAGTAATATAGTAGAATCCATTTTCTGATGCATAAAAAAAATTCAAATCTAGATCGGTAAGAGTTATGCTATGTCTGCTGTGGTGTTCTTGTTTGTACCCTCTGATGGGTGAAACATGGAGAAGCAATGTGATCCTTTTAGCTTCCTGGCACTGTAATTTCCAGGGTCCATTTCAAATAAATTTCTCTTCAGTGTGACTAACACCGTGGGTTGAAACTGAAATGGCTAAATCTGCAACTACTTGACTTCTTAGTTTGGTTTTCAAAGAAATGCCGCTCATGTGTAAAACATATTTATACTCTAATCCAGTAAACAGACTGGTAGGATTAAGGATAAGCAAGCCCTTTAATCCCCATCCTACCGTCGGGACATCTGAACCAAGTTTTAATTAAGTGATGCTCAACTCCAGTCCAGAATAAGTCCCTGATGCTGCCACCAGCTGCATAACCTGGAGACAGTGCCCTTGTTGCTTTCCTACGCTTACTAGAATACTGCACTATACTAAATATTAAAAATCTGATGTTAGTATGTATAGATCAGTATGTATACATTTCTTTTACCTGGTCAACAAATTAGTGTATCCTGCCTGATACATTTCTAATTCCAGCTGCTAGCTGGGAATCCTAGTTAAAAAACGACACTGGTTTAGACTTGCATAGTTATCTATGGACACGCTCCGTCTCTCAGGCCCAGTCAGTTTAAACACACAGAGAAAATGTAAACCCAGACTAAGTCTAGCACTGATTGGACCACACCACACTATGTTGGCTAAGTTAGTGAAACATACTCTCCACCTGCTGAGCAGTCCATACATTACATCATTGTTGGATTATCAAGACAGAATAATAACTGGGAGCCTGTTCACATTACAGCATCAATTTTCCCGGCAAAAAGGCATGTACATTTGGTACTTGCATTGACATCAGCATAATGTACAGAGCTGAGGTTTACAGAGAGGGAGGGAAACAAGTAAAACACATATTTGGTGAGATGCAATTAATGGCGTGCTCCCACCTAGATGCTTTCAGCTCCAAATGGTTAATTTTATTCGCAAATGAACAGAGAGCATTGAAACACTTAGTATGTACTGAAAAGCACTAAAAGATAAAGCCTTAGAGTTGCTTTGAATACTCTAATAAAGAAAAATTCAATGATGACAATATATTTTCCTGGCAGGCAAAATATATATCTTCCTTTTCTAGACATTTCATTAGAAGTGGAGAAATATAGGTACTGTACATAACATGTATCACAATGAAAGCCACTTTACCAAGTTTAAAGATTTGGCATTTACTGTATTTAACTTTTCTTTGGTTTTTTAATGCACACATGCTTATTTTCCTTTTCAGAAAAGTATGTGGGCAAGGTAATAATACAATTGCCTGAGCTTAGTCCTCAAACATAGGAACTACGTTGTGGAGTGGCAGCAGATGCCTGTTGCAAGTGGTGGGGCACCAGAGGTTGCCGGTGGATGTGAAAGTGAAGGTCTTGCTAACCGTATGTGTGTATTTATGTATGCATTCACATATATACATGCCTAGATTCAGGCAGACATTTTCATAGACCCAGATGTGCATACAAACATTCAGTCATTAAAGTGTTTTCTGGTCATGTACTTTATTGCTGTTTTTCTCTTTACACACAGTGGAACACACCACTACACCTCAGGAAGTGGTTCCTAAAGGTCCATTAACTTTAGACATCTATCCAAAATATAGTATTCAAAATAGGAAGAAACAGGAGTGGCAAGGAAAGGAGATTGAAGCAGAGGTTGAGTTTCTGGTCATGAATTAAAGGAGCTATGGGGTAGAAGGGAAAAAACACAACTTTGGCTGAAATCCTGTTTCACAAATTGCAACTTGTAACGTGTAAGAAGTCAATAGCTATGCCACAGTCATGTGGGAGGCATTAAATGAATCATCCGGCTGCAGATGAATGACATGATGAAAGTTGCGAGTCACAACTTGCAAAACAGGATTTCAACTTTTATCTCTGACTCCCTTAAGAACAAACTTTCTCTAACAGACACTGATCAACCTTTAAAATGAATTATCTTCATGATTATCATTTCACACGTATATTGTGATCCTTATTTCGACCAAATCCTCCACTGACTACACTGGGAACCCGTCACCCCTTTATACCAGCTTCCAGCAAAGAAATCACTTGGGAAATTTCCTTCAACTTTGAGACACAGAAGTTATGTTGCAATAATAATCCTATGCCGACTGCAATAATCAAAGTTGTCTACTGAAGAATAATAGGTACTAGAGCAATTTCTTCTCCTTTTCCCTGCCCCCAACGCATATCTAC